AAAACGATATTGAACAGAGATGATATGTCAGTATAGAATATATTATTATTATAGATTATATTACCTATATTTAAATTATAATATATTAGATATGTACAAAATACTTATATACTACTAACAATATGTTTAAAACCTTGTATTAAATTTTCAAGCTTTTCTACTCAACAAATAAATTTTTATCGGTATTAATTTGAATAAAAACTAATAATAATCAAAAACTGCATATGGCTATAAATAGTTCAACTTAAGTCAAAATTTTATRGCGTATAGAAAATTCTTAAATAAACATTCGGTGAAAATATTTCATGTATCGATGGTCATTTGTTTTAAAGTAACATCAAAAATCAAAATTGATTCTGCGCATAAATTCCCGGTTTTTCCTTAATTTTTAGTTTTTTTTTTTATTGAACGTATAAACATCGGCTACTGGACCATTAATTATAGATTAAATTTTTTTTCAATATATACTTAACATTTAATAATGGCTTAAATTAAGTTATATAATTTGATTTCTTTTAAGAAGTTGATTATTTTGACGTTTGGTTGGAGATCTGATTGTAGAGCTTAGCTTAATTGTTGGGGTTAATGGTTAATGATGTTTTGATATTGAGTCAGAGTATTTGTAGCAATCRWTGAGTTGGTTTTTGATTGTGACCTCCACACCACATGTTTCACATATGGGAGGAATTTTTAGTTTGTTTATCTTTATCCCAATTATTAAAAAAAATATTGGGAATTTTACTTTTGACCCCTTCCCCCACAAGTACCCACCAACTAGATTCACTTTCCGTTCGAACGAGGTATTGAAGTCGAAAATCRAACCAATTTTACTGACCCAAATCGTTATGACAGACAAAAAAAAGAAAAAACACATCATGGTGAAATCAATATATTCCTCGCTCCACTCGGAWTCTAAAAATTAAACTTAGTGAATTATAGACAATTGAATTCACTAAGTTTAATTTTTAAATAGCTTTAAAAAAGTAAAAATAGTTTTAAAACTTAATCGTAAATAGATATCATTCTTGATTATTATAAACAATTGGTGAAAATTTCAAGTAATTACAGTGATTTGTTTTTGAGTTATAGTAATTTTGTCACAGATTATGCGTAAAAA